TGTAGTCAAAATAAGAATGAAAAGACAACAGAGTTTGACACTGTGGTCGAGTCGAGTTCTTCATGAACCAGCTCTGAATGTTGTAGAGTTCAGAAAGAAAAATTCATAAAGGATCCTTTACTTTACACAAAAAAAATGTTTTTTCCACAGTTTATGGTTTCTACTGACAAAGAGTCGAGCTAACGAACAAACTAAACAATTAGTAATAGTTTTCATAAAAAGGTGGGACCAGAACTAAGATTCAGTTTGTTGAAACGGTTGTTGGCTGTGAATTCACACGTTTTTAAAAGATTAGGATATATTTTAAACCCAAATGTGCCATATATATATATATATATATATATATATATATATTTCATTTGTACTGCTTTATAAATATGTAGTACTATAGTCCCCCTGATCGAGCACACGGACCTTTTACTTCTTTCTCCATTTACAACTAGGAGAAAGAGGGAGTGTGGTGACCTCAGTCTCCCAAAGTAAAAGCTGCAGGGTGTGTGTGTGTGTGTGTGTGTGTGTGCCACCTGTAAAGTCTTCCTCTCAGGATCAGGTTTCTTTTGAACAACTTTAAGACGGCATTTGTTTCCAATGGTTTACAGTTTGTTTAAACTCCAGCTCAGGAAGGCGGGGCTGCAGTGACGACTTCCACTTCCTTTTCTGGGGACGGTGTTTTCTAAAGGTCTTCAGTGCTGCTGGACAGAGGAGGGGGGGGAAACAGCACCAGCCTTTTAAGAGCCCCCGATGGGTTCACTCTGCCACTCGGCTTTTATTTTGCCCCTGCTCGCTGCGGGCTGCTTGTACTTTCCCGTCCCCCCCCTGTGCTGGCCCGGTGGCTGCAGATTAAGGCCACGCAGAGTTAGAGACACTCATAATTACAGTGTGTTTTTGTGTACACATGCTTATTATGTGTGGCGTGTACTCCGCCTGCACATATGTTAGTGCGTCAGGAGCGGAGCTGATGAGTGACGCCGGTTGCGGCCTGCTGCGTGTCGCTCCCAACTGATAAATGACTGCAGGCGCTGTCTTTCTCTACCCCAACCTCACAGTGTTCCTCCCTGGAGATCAGCCGCTGACAAATATTCTAACCTGAAACCAGAGCAGAACAAGACAACAGTTTCAATCTAAATATGAGTTTAACCTGTTTTAAGAAACTCGGGTTCAGAGAATGGCAGCCGTGGAGTGATGAAGAGGACCGGGCTGCTGTTCCCTGGTGATTCTTCTATCACTGGTGAGCGTGGCGTGTGTGTGCCACAAACTACTATATATATATATGTATGAAAATGATAATACTGGTGTTGAAAAACAAAACAAATACAGAGGAAAGAAGATGAAGTCCCTGTCCTCTGGAATGGCCTAATTTTTCTGTCTCTGAACATTTACATCACCTGAGACAAACGATCAGCTCCGTTAGCGCAGTTCACGCACAACTTCACCGACTTGGAAAAACAAGAAACAACCAAAAAACACATGATTACATTACAACACAAAATAACATTTATTTTTTTGTCTTCTAACTTTGACCAGTTTTAGTGATTTTTGGCAAGAAACTAGATCGGCGATTTTCAAAGGGTCACCTCTGGGGGGAGCCAGACCAACTTGAGAGGGGAGGAAATGCTAACTAAAAAAAGGACGATTAAAAAATTGTGATCATTGGATTTAGTTTTGGTCGACAAATACATTTTTTGCAACTTTAAAACTTAAATAATGACGTGTTTTAATGGGAATGTGCTAATTCTTTGAAGACCATGAAACCTGATCATTAGACAAGTTTTCCCTCCAGACGTTTGTATCAGTGGATTCAGTAACAGTTGGACGAAAAAGTTTGGATTAGAATCAGAAGATTTTAGGAATGAAATTATTTCAGTTTCTGGTCAAAGAAACCGACAGAAAAGTGTAGTGAAGACATTTCACCACAAGGTGGACTAATTTTAGAGGTAGGGCCACTAACAGTGAAAAAATATAGATATTTCAATATTAAATTAGATATTTGCTACATTTGATTTATTTCATTATTTCCTAACCTAATGTTTTTAATTGTTGGCTCAAAGGCACAGCCACTTTCTTGAACTTTACCGCCGTAAATATCAACACGTTCAAACCGGAGCGGCCGTGGAGGACGAGGCCTTCCACGCTGGGAAGCAGCAAACAACTTATGTATTTATTCCAGATATTTACTTTTGTTTGTTTTCACTGTGTTCACGGCTCCATGGGAGCAATTTCTGCCGTGATGAAACTGAACAGCAGTCCCTGTGGAGTTCATTACAGGGAGGGAGCCGCTGCCCACCCCCGCTGCTCCTCGGCCAACTGGGATTTGACAGACCCAGAGGGACAAGTTAGTTTGGAGGAGGAAACTTGGGACGGTGGAGAGGAGGGATGAAGGATGGGGGGGAGGAGGGGGGTAACTCAGGGGACGCACAGAGGAAAGAGACCATAAACAGTGAAGTAATGACCTTAAACACACTAACAACACAGTGGGAGTTAATGAAAAGGCACATGATGAAACGGAAGCAGCAGCAGAGTCCTGTTGGTAAACAGTAAACAACTCCACCGATTGGTGATGGGAAACACAGAGAGCCGGTTCTTATGGCTCGGCTCCTGCAAAAAGAAGTAACGTAAAATTGTGTTTTGTAAAGAAAAATAAATATATTTATTAAAATATGTTTTCTTTATTTGGCTAATTATATTAATCAGCGAAAAAAAACTCATTACAAAGTACAGAAAAATAGTTTAAAATAAAGTTTCTGAGTATGGGTAGAAAACGTTGGGTAAGTAAAAATTCCACCTGCAAAATGTAAAAAAAAGTGAAGTTTCTGAGTATGGGTAGAAAACTTTAAGTAAAAATTCCACCTGCAAAATGTAAATATTCGTGGAGGGACCAAACTGGTTCTGCAGCGCCCCCTTTTTGTCATCCTTGACATCATCAATTATGGTGGGACTCCAGAAAATCAAATCTAAATTTTGCTTTTAAAAGACTTCACATCACATGTGACAAACGTTTGCTGTTGGCAAGAAAGTGGGTAAGTTAGTGTGTCATGTAAAACTGCTTTAACTCTATATATAATGTTATAAAATAACAGTCTGATTTATCAGTGTCAGGATAAATCAGATGTATTGCTGGGAGCTAACTTGGCTAAACAGTCGCATGTGGCTGAGGAACCACAGGTTGCAGAGCTTTGGGTTACACTAAACTATAACTTACTATAACCTGTTGATGACTATTAACTTATCAGTTTAATAATCACTGCATTTAGTCACAAAAAAAAAAAAACACGGTGGAAGTTGGAACACAGCCTTTTGCCCATGATATACATTTGAAAGCTTTATTGCATTTAGAAAGCGTACAGGGGATTTATGATGATGGTTTTTAAACTGACATAAAATGCTCAATAAACAACGACCAGAACAATAAATATTATTTGCTAATATTTCACTTTCTGGAAAACACCTGGATTCACCTGGAGTGTGTGCAGAGCCGAGGTGAAGAGCTGGAGCGTCGTCATGTGACATTAACACAGAGGAAAAAAAAAATATTTGTATCAAGTTAAAGTCAAGGTGATGGAGCACGTGGAGAAAATCTACGTCAAGAACTCAACGGTGATGGAGCACGTGGAGAAAATCTACCCCCCTCTCCTACGACGAGATTTCAACAAATCCTCCTAAACTGCTTTGGTGCTGTGAAGAACTGTAAACGCAAATCCAACTTTCAGGACGGTGAAACAGAACATGCTTCGATGTGTACAGAAAAACTTCATGAAAACTTTAGTCTCTCCTTTTTTGGTATTTTGCTGTAAAAAACATTTTTCAGGGATTTTTCTTGATAAGAAGTAAAACAGGAGTTAGTAGAAGTATAAAAATTGTGTCCTGACAAAAATACTGAACTTTGCAAATATAATGAGCTAAACAGATGTGTTTGTAAAAGTAAACTTTTTTTTTCTTCAATTTTGAGTAAAAAAAAAATTAGCTGTGGATGGGACAACTTACTGCAAACAAAGACTGTAAACACTGCACTCCAACGCCTCGGAGTCGCAACTCAAATAAAAATAAGTTATTTTCTGTAACCTGCTGTGTACTGTGTTCATGTATTTCCTGCATCTGTTGAGTCCAATGTTGGATTTAACACATTTGAAGTAATGAATGAGAACTGAAAAAAACAAAAACAAACCAACATGAACAACACGAGCAAACAAGTGCACAAGATCAGCGTATTTGTTAATTTTACACAAAAATGTTCAGACACTGAAAACACTCAATGATAATGTTGTAGCTGAATAAGAAAAGGACGAAGAAGTTCCACTGCGAAAGTGAAGCCGAGTGTGAAAGTAATGGGCTGAAATAGCTCTCACGATTATTCTTTCAATTTTTCAGTTATTGATTTTTCAGCAATTTACCACTAAACGAGATTGAACGTTTAAAAAAAAAACTCTTCAAAAATGTCTTTTTTGACCTTTTTGACAAGGTGAAGCTTTATATAATACCTATTTAATATATTTAATATTATTTAATATTTCAATGAGCCGTTATCTTATTTTTCAGATCTATAGTTACATCATGATTACCGTTACGTTACGTTACGTTATCCAGAGGTTCGTAAAGGTCAGTGTTTTTTGGAGGCCACTGATGTTTATCAAGTCAAAAATACTTGTTAACTCTTTCAAACTTTTTGTTTTTACAGTGTCCAGTAAAATGTAAACTAGTATAAAGTAATCCTTATGTGTCTTTGAAGTCTTTACTTCA